CTATCTATCTATCTATCTATCTATCTATCTATCTATCTATCTATCTATTGGTTTTTTGAGACAGGGTTTCTTTGTGTAGCGTTGGCTGTCCTTGACTTGCTTGGTAGTCCAGGCTGGCCTCAAACTCACAGAGATCTGCCTGCCTCTACCACCCTGAGTGCTGGGATAAAAAGTGTCCATTGCTATGGCTGGCTAATCAGGATCTTTTTAATCACAGAAAATGTATTTATTATATATTAAGCAAAAATAATGTGAAAAACAGGACTCCTGTTTTTACAAACATGCATCCTGTCTCCATGTGTACTTTTAGACTCCCAGAAAGAAGAATAAATTGGCAGCTAGCAATGTGTTACTTCTAGGCAGTGGAATTATGTGTACATGTTTATGCTTCTCATATTTTTTATATTTTCTATGATGAGAATTAGAAGCGTGAGCAAAGGCATGGAGTCAAAAGATGCCTGAGACCAATCTGAAGTCACAGCCCTGTCTTGCTTTTCCCAACAGGTTTTGGCACCATGCTGTCCTCTGTGGCCCTCCTCTCCATCCTCGTCTTCGTCCCCTCAGCAGTGGTGGTCATCCTGCTGCTGGTGAGAATGGGGAGGAAGGCGATGGGGGTGAAGAAGAGGAGTAGGTCTGGTTATAAGAAGTCTTCCATTGAAGTTTCCGATGAGTAAGTCCGGCTGGGGTCCCCAGCAGTGGGTCTGCTTCCTGTTCACAGCCCTGCCCCCATGCCCATACACATTTTCTCCCCAGCCCAGGGCTCAGATCGCCTTCCAAATGCCATAGTTCCATGAGGGCTGTCAGAGGAGGATCAGAGTGACATTTGTGGGTGCTGTCACAGAGGGCAGGATTGTCAGGGTGCTTCTTCACACCACGCAGTGCTGGCCTCTGCGTGCACATTTTGAGCAAATAGCTCATTCTCTCAAAATTAAAATAGAACTCCCAGTCATATTTTTCTCTTTTACTTTTTTTTTTTTTTTTTGGCACAGAGCTAATGTCTCCTTCCTAACAGAATATGCATAAGCAATGAAGGAGGCTTTGAGAATAACCGTGAAGGGCAAAGGAAATTTCAATAAGCATGTGCTACTTACTCTTGGTCAGCAAATGCTCAGAAAGGGCTAAATGGATGTGGTTATTGCTTTAGTCACTGTTCTGTTGCTGTGAAGAGACACTATGGCCGAGGCAACTCTAATAAGAGATATCCTTTAATTGGGGGCTGCCTTACAGCCCTCAGTAATGGCTTAGTTCATTATCATCATGGTGCGGAACATGGCAGAAAGCATGGTACTGGAGAAGTAGTTGAGAGCTGTATCCTAATCTGTAGGGAGAGAGACAGAGACAGACAGAGAGAGACACAGAGAGAGCTACTAGGCCTAGCATGGACTTTTGAAACCTTAAAGCCCACCCCAGTGACATACTTCCTCCACGAGTCTATGGAGGTCATTCTTATTCAAAGTTATCAAAAGCATTTATTAACCGCCACTCTGCCAATGAGCAGGCACAATCCATTGGTTTCCCAGGAAGAGATTTACTTCTTAAAAGGAGCAAAAGCCTACATTAAAGCTCTGTAGCTGGCATGGTGGTGCACACCTTTAATCCCAGCACCCAGGAGGCAGAGACAGGCAGATTTCTTTGAGTTTGAGGCCAGCCAAGGATACATAGTGAGACACTGTCTCAAAAAAAAAAAAAAAAAAAATGTGACTTTCCCATTGCCTATGAAAGGGCTCTTAACATAAGGGAAGTTCCAAAGTTTTCTTTCTGCCAGTGTGTATATTTATTTACTGGAGAAAGACTTTCCTTTTCAAGGAATCTGTAACACACACACACACACACACACACACACACACACACACACACGATGGAGGGGAGGTAAAGAGCTATCAGTGAAAGCACCAATGTCTGTTTCTAAGGACAGTATACAAAATGCTCTGTGCTCTGATCCCAAGTCACATTGTCTCATCATATGTTCTCACTCTCTCTATAGTTCAACTATAGTCAGCTTATAGTATATATAAATATACTATAGTCATTGACATGTTTGTATATATGTTTGTGTACATGTATCTGTCTGTCTACATGTCCATCCATCTAGCCATCCATCCATTGTTTTTCTCCCCCACCCCAACATTCCTAGAATCACCCCCTTCCCTCTCTTGTTTGTCTGGAAGCTTTCTTACCCTCCAGGACGAAGCTGAAATATCCCCTTCTCATCATACTCCTTGAGTCCTGAACAGAGACCGCCCCTCCCTGCCCTTTGCTGCACAGCAGTTCCACCCTAACTTTAGAGCATGATCGTGTCGTATCACAGTACACGTTAGTTCTTACAGTTCTCACCCACATGGGATCGGCAGCTCATCAACAGACCAGGTTCTGTTACCTCTGTTCCCGCCCTCGCCCTCGCATGGCGCCTCCACTCTGGCTAGTGGTCAGTACTTTCCTGAGTGAATGGCGGCGACCAGCTGCTGTATATCTAGCACCTGCTGGCCGTTCTGATACGTGTTTCACTTACATTTTATTTCTTACTTACTCCTGATGACTCTGTTTAAGGGTCTGCAATAGAACCAGACTCCTGTGGTTGTAGCACCTGAGCCTGGACCTGTCCCCTGTGCTGACAATGGCAGTTGAGTTTTGCTTTGTGTTCTTTCCACAGCACTGACCAGGAGGACAACAGTGACTGCGTGGCGAGGCTTTGTGTCCGCTGTGCGGAGTGTCTGGTAAGTGCCCCGTTTCTCATCTTCCTGCCTATTTGAAGGATCCTTTGCTCTCAAGAACAACAAAAACATTCACACTAGCACAGGAAAGTCTGAACTAGAGTCTCTGGGAACCCCTACCAGTTCTCAAGTTGATTTTTTTTTAATTTAGATTTTTTTAGTGTAAGTGTGTTTGGGCTGCATGTATCCGGTGCACCACCTGTACACCCAGTGCCTGCAGAAGAGGGCATTTGGCTGCCTGCAACTGGAATTACAGATGGTTGTGAACCACCATATGGGAGCTTGGAACAAAACCCAAGTCCTCTGCAAGAGTAATAAGTGCTCTTAACTGCTAAGCCTGCTCTCCTGCCCTCATTTCAAACTTTACATTTAATTATTCTACATGAGTGCATGGAGGTCAGAGGACAATGTGGGGGGTTGGTTCTCTCCTTTTACCTTGTGGGCCCCAGGGACCAAACTCATGTCATCAGGCTGGATAGCAAGCTCCTTTACCTACTGAGCCATCTTACCAGCCTACGATTTTATTTCCTGTCTCCCAGATGTAGAATTGTGTTCTTAAGTTAAGAAAGGGGGCTGTGTAAGCTACTGACTGATAAACAAACAAACAAACACAACCAACTAACCAAAAAAGAAAATAAATCCAAAAACCCTGTAGAATTTTTATAGGGAGTTTTCAAGTTTCTGTGGTTACAGGTGGTGTGAAATACCATGTGAGCACTGGGAATCAAACCCAGGTCCTCTTAACTACTGAGCCCTGGAGTTGAGTTTGAACATACTAAGTTTGAAGTGTGCAGTAGGCAATGAGGTCTTCTGAAGAGAGAGACCTAGCCTGCAGATATAACACAGGAGCTGTTAGGACATAGAAGCCGACAGAGATATATCCATCAAGGAACTACACAGATGTGTATGTGTGTAGGAGAGGCCTGAGGACCAAGCCTGGAGTTCTCCAAGGCTTCTAGATTACAGGCAAAGAGGAATTAGCAAGAGAGGATGACAAGACATGGCCTTTGAAGCTGGAGGAGAATGAGGACAGTTTGTTAGCTTGGGAGATGGGGAGAAAATTTTTCGAGGAATTGGGAGTTCACTGTTGATGGTTTGTTGGTGTCGAGGCTATTGCTGACCTTGGCAAAAGTAGCTGCACTGAGCTAGTGAGGGTGAAAGGGGCTGGGGGAGGGGCAAGAACCATCACAAAGGCATGTTGGAGGAAGTTAGTGCAAACAGCTCTTCTAAGGAAGGATGCAGAGAAATAGGGCAGTGGGCAGAGAGTGCTGTATGTTAAGAGTTACTGTTTATGATGGGTGAAACAGGGCACATTTCTATGCTGTTGTGGGTGAGCCAACAGAGAAGGAAACATTTGTGCTAAGAGAGAAAGAGAGAGAGAAAGAAAGAGAAGAATTGCTAAGTTGCTACTAGGAGGTGTGACAGGAGGACATAGCAGCTGAAGAGAAAGGCTAAGAACAGTTGAGAAGGGCTGCACACGTGCTACATACCTATAATCTCAGCACTCTGGGGGCAGAGGCAAGCCGCCTGGTCTACAGAGCAAGTTCCAGGACATCCAGGGCCACACAGAGAAACCTGTCTCGGAAAACAAACAAACACACAAACAGGACAGTAGCAACGCCAAACAGATGAGGCTGTGTGTAGGTAAGTGAATCAGATGATGGAAGTGTGTGGACGTTCTTCACCGACTGCCTCTCTTCCTAGTGGCAGGAGAAAGCAGGGGCGTGATCTCAAAATGATGGCAAGAGGAGGGGTCAGAGGACAGGGGGAAGGCTTTAGGTGTGAAATAGTTACTTAGAAGAACAAGAAAATCAGGGTCAGGGATATGGCTCAGCAAGTAAAGGTATTTGCTACCAAGCCAAACACATACACACGCTTACTCTTTCTCTTTCTTTCTCCCCCTCTATTTAAAAAATGAATAGTTTTTTCGAAGAACAATAGAATTAAGACCTAGAACAATCTGATAAACCAGCTAGCGCGAATGGGCCATTTGAGGTTACAAGGGATGAGTATGAGTTTGGATAATGAGAGTAACGGTGGCAGTGAGAAGAGCTGCAGTCACAGCTCTACAGGTGTGCTGTAGAGGGCTGCGCCCGCGCCGAGAAACCTACACCTGTTGTTTCGTGCACATCTACGTGATGTGCTTCTATTGTCCCCATTTCGGAGATGCTGAAACTGTTGTTTAACTACTCGGTGTCCGTTTGGTAGAAAGGATAGAATGAGGTAAGTGAGCTCCTAACCCCAGCCCTGCATGTTCTGCTGTAGGCAAAGCATCTTTCCTTGTGTGTTGAGGTTCCAAAATACAGTCATCAAGGAAAAGAGAACCACTAGGGCTTCCAAACAGAAATCAGCCTGGCAGACATCACATTGAGGTTCTATGATGCTCCACACAGCTTGGGTGTGCTATCTGGGTACCCCACCATTGCCACCCTACACTGAGCTCCATTTGGGGACCCCATACACATGGTCTATGTGTAAATCTGACTGTGGCATTGTGATGTGCATACAATGTGCTATGTGTATACAATGTGCTATTGATGTGCTATTGTTTCTCCTCTAGGATTCAGACTACGAAGATGCATACTGATAAAGTGTGTGAAGCAAGAGGTGTTACCAAACAACAGGAAATATCCCATCCCCCTGGCCAGGAGTGCCACTGGCGGGGACAGCAGTGACAGGAGATTATGAAGGTCACCAGTGAAGACTTTAAGGACCATTTATTTATTGAAGAAATGCTTATTTTGTATTTATAAACTGTTCAGAAACTCCCAGAAGGGACTCATGACTTCCCTTCCTAATATGCTCTGATTGGACAAAGAAATTCTTGAACAGAAACACGTCCCCTGGTTTACCTTCGCTCTTGGATGTAGTTTGTGTTTTCTTCCAGTTGTCTGACGGAGAATACCAAATTGCTGTCACTCTGCTGATGCCAAAATTGTACTTTTAAATGATGTGGGGCTTGTAGCTTCCTGATGATGTGCCAACGAAGAACACAGTTGTTTGGGATTGGATAGCCTTTGTTTCTTATCCACGAATGTTTTCTGTTTCGAGTATTCAATGTGCACTACTTGGTTTAATAGTCATCAGTCCTGTGAAGGTGACTTGGAGTATTTCTTTCGACTCAGTAGGTTTACAAGTTGTAGGTTTGCTTTGACTGGGTCTTTTAAGTATTAAAATATTGTCATTTTGTAGTTAAGGAAACAAATTTTGATGTGGAAGAATCTTTCTCATTTGTCTTGCCAGGTACACATTGGGCCAAAAAAAAAAAAAAGTCCTCCTACAGCTGACAAATTTGTGGTTTCCTTCTCGGTTTCTTAAGTTAGAGGCAAGAAATGTTGGTAGTGGCGGCTTATGAAATATTTTCTGTAGTCCTTTGCTTTAAGTTTTTCTGCCTTTCTCGTGTCACTGTTTAGAACTTTTTCTAGTTCTAAGTTGCACCACTGATGGGTACATTTTGTATCTGCAAGCTGGTTTGCTCAGCGCTGGAGATGAGGACGTGAGGTTGTACAGGCCTCTCTCCTTTCTCCTCTCAGTGCCTTGTAACCCACACCTCTGCTCTCCCGTAGCAACTTACTTAAAATTGTAACTTATATTGGGTTTTCTATAAGCGGTTAAGATGTCCCTGACCTATCAGGAAGGGCTGGCATGTGTGCAGAGAGCCCTCTCCACAGAGAGACCGGGCTCACTTCTTGATCGTCGCAGTCACGGATGACGCCTCCCCCAGCCTTGGTTGTCTCCATGTGGCGGTCTCCTTCGTGGTCCTCCCCAAAGCGGCTTGGGAGGGCGCCATATTACAGTGTTATGTGCTATGTATCTTATAAAAGTCATTCTATTTACCACCAAGATCTTATTTTTTAAATTGGGGCCATTAGGCCAGCTTCAAAGATTTGTTCACCTAGCCTGCTGATTCGTGAATCGGAATCGCTTTGCGATTTAGCTCTGGTCATGAAAGCCCATGGAAGAGGCCAAGGAGGGACTGGCACTTGACATTTCTGGTGGCTAGATTCCACGGTTCTTTGGGCTACTGGTTAAAGACATGACTGTGGCCAATCCAGTGAGACCCTTCCTGACAGTTCAACAGAGAGAAGGAAACATTGAGGCACCAAACATAAATAGTTTGTGTTCTTGGAAGATCTGAAGAGCATGATCCAGTTGGGAAGGACCATGCCTTGGACCTCACTGCTCTGATGGAACCCATGTAAGCCACCATCCTGTGAAAAGGAGGGGCAAGTTTTGGTGTCTCGGGATTTTCTTTTTTTTTTTTTTAACTTTTATTAATTACACTTTATTCACTTTGTATCCCCCCCATAAACCCCTCCCTCCTTCCCTCCTACTCCCACCTTCCCTCCCCCTTCTTCAAGCATGCCCCTCCCCAAGTCCACTAATAGGGGAGGTCCCCCTCTCCTTCTTTCTGATCGTAGTCTATCAGATCTTATCAGGAGCAGCTGCATTGTCATCTTCTGTGGCCTGGTAAGGCTGCTCCCCCCTTAGGGGGAGGTGATCAAAGAGCAGGCCAATCAGTTTATGTCAGAGGCAGTCCCTCTTACCATTACTATGGAACCTACTTGGACACTGAACTGCCATGGGCTACATCTGTGCAAGGGTTCTAGGTTATCTCCATGCATGTTCCTTGGTTGGAGTATGAGTCTCTGGAAAGACCCCTATGTTCAAATGTTCTGGTTCTGTTGCTCTCCTTGTGGGGTTCCTATCCTCTCTAGATCCTATTGTTTCCCACTTCTTACATAAAATTCCATTCACTCTGCCCGACAGTTGGCCATAAGTCTCAGCATCTGCATTGATAGTCTGCAGGGCAGAGGCTTTCGGAGGCCCTCTGTGGCAGGTTCCTAGGTTGTTTCCTGTTTTCTTCTTCTTCTGATGTCCATCCTCTTTGCCTTTTGGGATGGGGATTGAGCATTTTAGTCAGGGTCCTCTGTCCATCTTGTGAGTGTGTTGTGAAGTTTAGTCTAGCTCAGACACTGATGATTTAGGTGACTGACTCCTGAAGAACACACACACACACACACACACACACACACACACACACACACACACA